TGACCCTGCATTTAACTGTGAATAGCTATAGTGGACGACTACCGGAGAATCAGCAGTTTGCCAAAGGTAGAATCAGGACTATCGATCTGCTGACACCTATAAATAAATTGCATTTCGTCGCTACTGGTGGTTGCTCACAGTTTTGGGTCGTTGGTATTGATTTTGCCTCAAAAGGTCAATGGTACTCAGGTCCTTTTAGCAGAAAATTTCTCGTTTGCCTTGTAACTACACTTCCCGAAATTCGACAACAGCTCCACTTCTTGCATGAGAATTCAGGCCTATATTTCCAGGGAAATTCCTCTACAACGCTCTGTCATTCTCAGTCTTTCTTTGGTGCGATGAGTTCGGTGCTTCACAAAAATTACCCAGAATAAAACTGGTCATTTTCTATAAGGTCCGTTGCTAACAGAACGCTAAGCTGCAGGTGTGGGAAGGTATAAAGTTATATAATTTTTTGTTTTTTCCAAATTTATGCATAAGTCGGTCTTGTGGGAGTCTCTCGGCGCTTTTCCATTCGTTATTTTTTCATTTTTCTAACCAGGTTGAGGCGTCCGTGTGTAGAAGAAGGTGGATCTTCAGCTGAAGTAGCATTTACAGTTGAAATTGACTGGATCTCAATCCACATAAAATCTTGCTTTCTTAAATAAGAAAGCTGGGTTGTGAACAAAACTTTCGCCCCAGATGGGACTCGAACCCGCACCTCTCGCTTTCCGGGCAAGTGCGCTACCAGTTACGCTACCGGGGCACCATTTCATTCCAACTCAGCTTTTCATGGTATACTTACCATAGCTTATCAGCACTCTCATTTATCTCGCTTTTATCATGTAGATGGGTTTTCTTGAGGCCGTGAAAAAACGACATCGTCAGCGAAGAGGTGGAGGTACTACAGGTTGGGAAACAAGTAAACTTGTTTTCGCCGTTGACTCGTTCCGGTCTGGCCGATATGGTGGCAGTCATTGACATGGTGTAATGTTCATCTTCCATACAAACATCGAATCGATTTGTGCCGTTATCAGCAGTGCTGCGTCGTTGTCGATAAAAACCTTCTCGCGCAATTAGCTGTTCTCTAAATCTTCCACTCTGTCGGTGCATTCACGAGTACGCTCCTCACTCCTGAAGGTTCTCATGAGCTGTTCCCTGTTTTTGTTACGTTTTTGTCAACCACTAATATTTACTTCCATTTTTTTTCATTTCCCTCGTACTTTCTCGACAATCCTATTCGGCGCTCACATGGCTCCGATTTTGCTTTTGAGCACGTGAAAAAAGTTTATCATACGCGCGTGTAATCAATAACCATTTCTACAAAGAGTGAGATGAACTATGGAATCCGCCACTCATTCCAATTAGCTGTTCTTCGATCTATCAGTTGCCTTTATCACCTTGTCACTTTCTATTACATTTTACAACCGAACACACGCATTATCAGCCGCCGTAGTTCCAGCCTGATTTTCGCTCTGTAAAAAAACTCCTTATCACAAGAATGCTTCCCAGCGATACCCAAAATGTATCAAAACTTAGACTATTCAACCTCAATGAATATCTGAAGGCAAGTGTATACGATAAGCCTGGGTAGATCTGGAGTAGAGGCGGGATGCTTTATGCTATGGTAGTAGCGGGAATAAAAAAAAACTTAAACCCGCGGGATGGGAGCCTCACTAGGTTCGCTGATTTTGGATGAGTTCACGGCATAGGAAGTGATTGTTCGGGTAAGGGTATCGCCGCGATAGAATACGCAACAGACAAGATTACA